TCTGATGAACAGAGTAAACTACTGAATATAATAGAATCAGGGGCATAGAAAGGGAGTGGACTGACAATTCTCGGGGGGGAAAGGGGTGTGGGTGGTGTGGGAAGAGACTGGACAAAAATCTTACACCTATGGATGAGGACAGTGGGGGGGAGTAAGGGCAGAGGGTGGGGTGGGAACTGGGTGGAGGGGAGCTATGGGGGGAAAAAAGAGGAACAACTGTAATAATCTGAACAATAAAGATTTATTTTAAAAAAAACAACCCAACCAAGACTCTTCAGTGTGTGGGTCAGTGCCCTTACCACTGAGCCACACTAACCAGGGCAAACACGTCTGTTACTTTTAATTTTGCTTTATCATAAATCTTTTTGAAATATTTTCATCAGATTTCAAATTCTAGTGTGACTCGAACTAACTAGAGCAGTGGTTCTCAACCTTCCTAATGCCGCGACCCTTTAATACAGTTCCTCATGTTGTGGTTTCCCCCAACCATAAAATTATTTTCGTTGCTACTTCATAACTGTAATTTTGCTACTGTTATGAATCGTAATGTAAATATCTGATATGCAGGATGTATTTTCATTGTTAGAAATTGAACATAATTAAAGCATAGTGATTAATCACAAAAACAATATGTAATTATATATGTGTTTTCCGATGGTCTTAGGCGACACCTGTGAAAGGGTCATTTGACCGCCAAAGAGGTCTCGACCCACAGGTTGAGAACCGCTGAACTAGAGGGCTTCCTAAAAACAGGTTACTGCTTGGCCCAGAGTTGTAAATCTGGGTTTTGGTCCAATAATTTGCATCTCTAACAGATTACCAGGTGATGTTAATGTTGATGACATTAACGATCTGAGAACCACACTTTAAGAACCATGAGGTTTTTTATTTTTTAAATTATTGTGGTGAAATTTTAGCGTAAAATTTACAATTAACTATAAGTTTTGTCTCTTTACCGCGATCAGCAAGGCTAGAGAGCAGATGAATCCTGAGTATGGGCAGCTGGGGATTGAGAAAAGGAAAAAAAAGAGACACAGAGACAGTAGGGAAAGCTGGGACCAGGGGGGATAGCTGCCCTCTGATGGAGGGACAGTGACCCAGAGCTGATGCAGGTAGTTTTACTAGAGTTTAAGACAAAGGAAATTATGTGAAATCATGGTTAAAGATCAAGCTATAATTCTTCATTCTTGTGTCTTCTTTGTAATTGTCACTCCTGACTGAGCCCGGATAATTGTGTCCATTCCTTGCACCGGGCTGAACTTAGATAATGTGTTCGTTCCTTGCACCAGTCTGAACATAGATAATGAAACCCACCTTCTGGCACCTGAGCTAAGGGTCAGGCTGACAACATACCTGCCTCTGGAACGGTATGTTTCCAGGACGTGGTTTTGCCGACGCCACTGGATTCAGCCAACAATCAGCTCATTTGCCTTCCCAGGCACTCTCTACAATTAACCATTTAAGTGTATAGTTCAGTGGTAGTGAGTACATTCACATTTTTGTGTAATCATCATCATCCTCTATCCCTATATCTCTTTTCATTTGTAGAATTGACATTCAATACCTATTAAACAATAACTTTCAATTTTCCCCTCCTCCCAGCCCCTGATAACCATTATTATGCTTTCTGTCTTTATGATTTTGAATAGGGTTAGGTAGCTCATATAAGTGGGATCATATAGTACCTGGCTTATTTCACTTAGCATAATGTCCTCAAGATTCATTCATGTTTAGAATATTGCAAACTTTCTTTCCTTTTTAAGGCTGAAAATATCCCATGTTATGTACATACCATATTTTGCTTATCTAGTCATTCATTGATAGATAACTTGGGTTGCTTCCACGTTTTGGTTATTGTGAATAATTCTCTTCTAGACCCTGCTTTTATTTTTGGGATGAATATACTCAGAAATAGAATTGCTGGGTCATTTTGTAATTCTGTTTTTAATTTTTTTGAGGTATTGCCATAATGTTTTCCATAACAATTATACTATTTTACATTCCTACCAACTGTGCAAAAGTGTTCCATAATCTGTACACCCTCATCATGTTGTTTTTATTTGTTTTGTTTTAGCCATTCCTCCTGGGTGTGAAGTTGTATCTCATTGTAGTTTTTATTTGCATTTCTGTAATGATTATTGATGTGCCTCTTTTCATGTGCTTATTGGTTATTTATATATCCTTTCTGGAAGAATGTCTGTTCAAGTACTTGTCTCATTTTTTAAATCAGATTGGTATTTTTGTTTTTATCAGTTCTCTGTATATTCTGGATAGTAATCTTTTATTAATACATGATTTGCAAATATTTTCTCCCATTCTGTGGGTTGCCTTTTTACTCTGTGGGTAGAGACTCTTGATGCACAAAATTTTAAAAATTTCATGAAGTTTAATTTGTCTATTTTTGTTTTGTTTTGTTTGTTACCAATACCTTTGGTGTCATATACAAGAAAGCATTGCCAAATCCAATATTGGGAAGCTTTTTTGTTTTTTCCCCGTAAGAGTTTTGTTGTGGTAGGTCTTATATTTAGGTTCTTAATCCATTTTGAGTTTTTGGTTTCTAGTCTTACTGTAACTCTGTGAGTCAAGAATTGCCCTTTAGTAATAAGTGTGCTGGGGACATTGGTGACCAATATAGCAGAGTAGTTAAAAAGCTAACCTCTGGAGCCTTGTTGCTTGGGTTAAATTCTGGTTCTTCCATTTTGTACTTACAGCTAATTTTAATTTTCCTTTGCATGTGTAAAGTACTTGTGACAATTAATGGCTTATTATTATTATTGTTACCCTGCCTGGTATATTCTTTCTTTCTGGTGGTATTAGTAGCATCCCACTTTATAAAACTAGAAAACTTTTGAATTATCAAAATAATACCACATTGGTCAGACACTATTAAAAGTTTTAATGGTTTTCCTTCACTTTTATTTTTGACATTATAACAGATTTCATTACACAAAACTTTACAATCCCCAAACCATATCTATAATAATAAAAGTGTAATATGCTAATTAGAAAGCCAGGGCTGCGAGGGAAGCTCGGGTCCAGGGTGCTGGAGGCAAGCCGGTGCCGGCAGCCAGGGGAAGGAAGGCCTACTCTTGTATGAATTTCGTGCATTGGGCCTCTAGTATACTATATAAGTCAGACAGAAAGTGTGCACACATAACTTTGTTGTAAAAAGGTATAGTTGCTATGGAAATTCCTTCACTTTTGACCTTTATTTATTTATTTTTTTTTGAGTTCACAAATAAGATGGTTACTTTCCAACTTATTCTAAATAGTTAACATCAATAGGCATTTAAAACCAATAGGTACATTTAATGTCTACTGCCACTTCTAATTCATGTAACTTTTCATTTGGCACTTTTAGGACATAGCACATTTATAGTGCAGTTTATAATATTCTTGTTCTATCTGAGTAGCATTGAAATTCAAATCTGTTTATTAAAGTGATCACTAAAAACAATGGTAGTTTAAACATCTAGTTTACTTAACCTCCTCTTCCATCAACTCACTGTATAATTTGGATCAATTTTATTTGACTTTTTTATGATGAGTGACATTTTAGAAAATTTGAATATAACTACAACTTCACATTAAAACAGTGAGAAACAAAAAGCAAATAAATTAATTTAGTAATAAATTATACAGGTGTGTTTATTGGGGGAATAAAGGTTTTGCAATAACTAATAATAGTTTGTCCTTCAAAACCTGAAACTACTTATTGAGATGAGAAATTAATGAGATGTTTTATTATTAATAAAGAGATCAGTGTGTTTTGTGCGTGTGTGTGTGTGTCTGTGTGTGTTTTCTCACTTTTCCTCACTGGGGAAGAGCAGACAGTTTAGTAGCTTAGTTAATTTTTAATTTTGAAATAATCTGTATATTGTTTCCAAATCTAATTTAATTTATAATAAATATAAATACCTTTAATGAAATATTTAAAAAATTTAAAACTATGTTTCTTTAACAGATTTCTGTGATCCAGGAACTTGTTACTAATTATGAAGCCTCTCTTAAAACATGTGACTTTTTTAGCCTTTATGGTAAGTTTAAATTAGATTCAACTGGAATTTGATTATTCATTTTAATCCATATTTAATCATTTACAGTAAAACTATCTTATGTTTATTATGTACATGATACATGATAGCTATTTACTGAAAAGTTTTTGAATTAGTGAATGAAAAAAAAGAGCACTTTAATTTTATTTAATTTAAATTTTCCATAATGTGAGGTGGGAGTTAACCCTATTTTAACACAAGTAAACAGACTTGAGAGACTGAGTGAGTGGCTTGCCAGAGATGATACAGTTAGTTTTATTGAAATGCATTATTACTGAATCCCTACTCTCTCCTTTTTTTTTTTTTTTACTTTAAATTCTGTAAAATTTGGTTCTTTGTTTTTCTGTTTGTAGGGGCATATGTAAATGAAGGTAACTTCAGAAAACACTCTAGATTGCTTTCAGTGATGCAGATGGTAACTTTAGTCTGGTTTCTTCGTGTCTTTTATATGTCATTGCTCCTTTGTTTTTGTTAGTTTGAAACAAATTCCAAATAACAGACACAGAAGTAAATAGAATAATGAACTCTTGTGTCCCCATCACCCAGCTTCTGCTATGAACATTTTGCCAGTCTTATTTGAAGTACCTTCTGTCTACTTCTTTTCCTGGAATATTTTTAAAGCAGACATACTGTTTTACCTGTCATTACTTTAATATACATCACTAGCTGTTTAAAACACTTAACAGAAGATGTAACCACAGTTCTAACACAGAATTAATTCTCATACCATATTATCTAACACCCAGTGTACATGCAAATTTCCATGATTACCTTAAGTCTTTGTATAATTTGTTTATTTCAATCTGGATCCCACTAAACTCCACATTTGATTTTTATGTCTCTGATATTCTTTTAATCTTAAGTAATGTCCTCCACTCACTTTAAAAAAAATGTTATTTGTTGAAAGGTTATTTGTCTTGTGGAATGTCCCATATTCTGGATTTGGCTGATTTGCTTTCTCATGGTATCATGTAATATATTTTGCTATCATCCATATTTCTTGTAAACTTATAGTTAGATTTACAGGCTTGATTAGAATTAGGTTCTATTTGAGTACTTCATATGTGATGCATTGTACTTCCTGTTATATCACAACTTGAGGCAGAAGATACTCTGTCTCTTTGTAATGTTAAGGTTGGTCAGGGTTCAGACAGTGCCAGCCTGATCTACCCATTAAAGCATTCCTCATTGGCCTCTCACCTAATGGTTTCAGCAGCCACTGAGAATCTTTGCCCCAATCCCTTATTCAAATCATCATTTCTTCTGTATTTATTAGTTAGAAATGTTATAAAAGAGCTTCCCCTCATCAAATATTCAGTTCCTCTGAACTATAGTTTATGGAGGAGGAACAAGATAAATGCTGGGCTCTTTGCCTTTCTTTATTATTTGTGTTTTAATTTATAGTAATTTGTGTGTTTGCATGTTGTTGTTTTATTTGGTAGCTAGTCTAGATGACCTGAGTTTTTCTGATGTAGTATGGGTAAATTCTCTTTTTCATTCTTTTTTCCTCATTTTATACCTGTAGAATTTAGCCAATTCTGTAATCTATTTTGAGAGCTTGGTGTTTATTTCTTTATCTACTCTATTGTAGCTTGAGGATACAGGATGGGTAACAGCTGACTGTATGTGAGTGTTGTTGTCACATAGGGTTACTCTACCTTGTCAGGAAAGTATCCTATATAATAAAGAGCTAATATGCAAATGGTTGACATGCCCTCGCGCCGGGGCCGCGGGACCTGAGGCCGCGTTCCCCGCCCGGTGGGGCTTGACAGGGACCTGAGGCTGTGCCCCCTGCCCTGTGGGGCTTGATGGGGTTGGGGCTGGCCAGGTCTGGGTCTTGCACGATTTCGAGGCTCGCACAGGTGTGCAGGGACTTGACTCTGGGTCCCACGGCATGCCCCAGACTGACAGGAGGGAGATTTTCATATACATTTTACTATTTTTCTTTCATCTCTGACACTTCTATTATAGAGAAAGGGCAAATAGCAATATTAAAATATTTCCTGTAATTAAATTCCTTTTAATGTGCACGAATTTTGTGCACCCGGCCACTAGTCTATATATATAAAAGGCTAATATGCAAAGTGTCCCCTTGGGAGTTTGACCTCTTGCTATGATGTGTGCTGACCACCAGGGGGCGGCGCGGAATGAAGGAAGGCCCTGGCTGGCAGCCAGAAGGCCCCGATCAGCCCTGATTGCCGGCCAGGCCTAGGGACCCTACCCATGTATGGATTTCATGCAACAGGCCTCTAGTCTTCTTCATACTCTTCAACTTTGGGTTTCCCTGATTTAGTGTTGAAGCCTAGACAATGTTAAGCCCTGGCAGTTCATGCCTTTATGGAAATCTTGCAGTGGTAGTTAGGGACATTTTTCTCCTATCTATTTTCCTTGACTTTTCCTGGGTCTGCTGTCTTACGCTCCCAGCCTTGAGAATTCGTAGTTAGATTGATTTACCTTCTTTCTTCAGAACTTTCTTTGGAGTGAGGGTGGGGTTAGAAGCTTATGAAACTAGTATCTTATTTCTTTGCTTGGCTGCTACTTTTTGAACTTGATGGCAGGAAGTCATACCTCTTTCTATTGAAATTGGTTATTTTGCTGGCTTTTTACTGTTTATTATTATAATAATTTTTTTTATTTCATTATGCTTTGGGGCAGAGAAAGTATCTGATATCCTTTATTCTTTACTTTGCCTTCTTCCCTATAATAATTTTATATTTGTTTGATTGCAGAAAATGGGGAGAAGGAGCCCCCAACAACACTACTCTGGGTTCAGTATTTCCTGGCACAGCACTTTGATAAACTTGGGCAATATGCTTTGGCTCTGGATTATATTAATGCTGCAATTGCTAGTACTCCAACTCTAATAGAATTATTCTATATGAAAGCAAAAATTTACAAGGTAAAATCCTAGACATATTTTTTGAATAATTGAAAATTTTAACCACTTAAGAACTCTTAGAGTTATTTTTCTGTAGAAATAACTTTTATGGAACCCTGATAATCTATTTCTAATACTCTAATAATCCTAAAGAGTTTTTGATTGCATATTTTTATACTCAGTGTTAATCATTTGATTCAGCTCTTAGTAAGTGTGAATTTTAATTTATCTAAAGATTTTTAGATAAATTTTACAGAAATGACACCAAATTTCTAATTTGTTTTTCTAAACTGTTGTTATTTGTATTGTATCCATATTCTCTTAATCATAAACTATAATTTCTGTAATATTTTAATCTCTTAAAGCATATAGGTAATCTCAAAGAAGCTGCAAAGTGGATGGATGAAGCACAGTCTTTAGATACGGCTGATAGATTCATAAATTCCAAATGTGCAAAATATATGCTTCGAGCAAATATGATAAGAGAAGCAGAGGAAATGTGCTCCAAGTTCACAAGGGTAGGAAATAGCATGTAATGATGAGTCAGTAAAATTAAACTTCACTACTGTGGTGATTTTTGAAGTTTGCCACTAAAGTTCTTGAGAATTCATTTTTGTTACTTTTTAAAATCCCATTGAGGTTGTATCCTATGTATGGTTTCTTACAGAGGAGGTTGAGTGTGTGTGTGTGTACATGTGCTTCTGGGGGGAATGGTTAAAAAACAATAGCAGGAGCAGCCCTTGCTGGGTGGCTCAGTTGATTAGAGTATCCTTCCGTAAACCAAAACATTGTGTGTTCGATTCCCAGTCAGGGCACATGGAAACATACCTAGGTTTTGAGTTTGATCCCCAGTCAGGGTGTGTATGGGAGGCAAACAATCGGTGTTTCTCTCACGTAGATTTTTTTGTTTGTTTTTTCCTTTTTCCTCTCTTTTCTCTCTTCCTCTCTCTCTCTAAAATCAGTAGAAACATATCCTTGGGTGAGGATTAAAAATAAAAAAGCATTAGCAGAAGCAACCTAACTTTATACAAAAACTAGAGGCTCGGTGCACGAAATTCGTGCATGGGGGGGGGGTGTCCCTCAGCCCGGCCTGCACCTTCTCCAATCTGGGACCCCTCGGGGGATGTCTGCCTGCCAGCTTAGGCCCTGTCGCAATCTGGGATCCCTTGCTTCTTACTACTCGGCTCGCTGCTCCTTATTGCTCCTTATGTCTTCTGGCTGAGCGGTGCTCCCCCTGTGGGAGCACACTGACCACCAGGGGGCAGCTCCTGTGTTGAGCGTCTGCCCACTGGTGGTCACTATGCATCATAACAACCGGTCGATCTGGTTGTTCCGCCATAATGGTTGATTAGGCTTTTATTATATAGATTGCTATTGTCATAATATTTGTAGCTATAGTTGTAAAAGAGAAAATGAGATATTTTGAATCTCTTTTATTACTTGCTTTTTATATTAATGAATGCTTGTATTTCAGGAAGGAACATCTGCCATGGAAAATCTAAATGAAATGCAGTGTATGTGGTTTCAAACAGAGTGCATTTTAGCTTATCAGCGTTTGGGGAGATATGGGGATGCCTTGAAAAAATGCCATGAAGTAGAAAGGGTAAGTTGATAGAATTTTGACTTTATTTTTCTCTTGTAAAGTGATGGAAAAAAGCAGGTATTTTTCTACATGGGATCATCTACCTTTTTTATCTACTTTGGAAATTTCACTGTGAAAATTCTTGACCTTTAGTCTTTCAAACATTCAGAGGTTGTGAATAAATGATTGCTTTTGTTTATCCTCAAATGGTTATGATTTCAACATCTCCATATTTTTGTCTAAAGGAAGAAGTAAAAGATTAATTTAGTAAGTCATTATTGCTATTAATAACATATATTCAAAATCTCTACTCCCTAATTGGGCCATTATTTGATTTTCATTACTAGCCTAGAAGGACACACGAGCTGATGGTCATCTCTTTTCCCTTTATGTCAGGATCTGCTCAGTAGTCAGCCTCTCTCCAGTTTGTCTTCCCAGGATATTTGTTCTCACATTCAGTACTTTGTACAGCAGTCTGTGACTGATTTGCTGGCTTATTTTTATTACTTGCTTCTAGGATGATGTGTGTGATGTGCCTTAGTGAGGGGCCTTTTCTTTTCCTTTGTGTGAATTTTGTTTCCTGTTCTTTGTCATCTCTGAAGCACTCTCCTTCCAAATGGACAACAGGAGGAAAAGAGCCACAAATGCACCCCTGAGGCAGTCCTCAGCAGCCCTCAGTTGGGCTCAATCGGCACCACTGTTCCCATGCTGACGCAGTATTAAACCGCAGGCATCATAGTCAGGTGAGCCTGAAGTCTGCACTCTGGCAGTCACTTTGGCCTTTTTCCCATATGAAATTTCTGAGGTTACCCAAAGGAAAGGCTAAATAAATTTTAGGGGGTGGCTTTTGATGGGAACTGGAGCTAGGATTATACCTGAGCCCTTTTATAAATAACCTAGTTCTTGCTTTGTTTTCTTTTCTTTTTAAGCCTGGGCTTATATCTCTGGGAACTATTTTCATCTCCTTGAAAATATAAAGCCCTTGGATGATAAGTGAACTATTCAGGAAATATCCAAATATTGTGTAAATCAGGCTCTTCTGTGATACAAACGTAGATCACTAGCTTGGTGACTGTTACTTTAAAACATTGTTTGTAATTAGGAAAGATCCATTTTTCATTAACCAAGACATTCTTGGTGAGAGACAGATTGTTTACTTATGGATCAGTAATTCCAGCAGGACCATAACTGGAAATTTATTAGATTTTCTGTGAAAATGAAATTTGAATATCCTTAGGATCATTATAATTATGAACTTTCCAGCTTCATTCCATTCCTCCTAACATTAAGAACTATATTACTAATTGCTTTTTAATATTTTTGAAGGTTGTTAGACTATGATTTCATTACTAGGTTTTATTTAGATATTTTACCTTGAATTTTTAGTGATTTTGGCTGAGTAACATGAAGTAAAATTCTGTAATGTCAGAGATTAAGTACAGTTGACACTTGAACATTGAGGGCCCTTGGGGCGCTAACCCCTTTGCAGTTGAAAATCATCGTATAACTACTGTGTGTCCTTTGCATATGTGGATTTCAAACCATGGATCAAAAATAGAGTTGACCTTTGAACAACATGGGTTTGAACTGCACAGGTATTCTTTATACACAGATTTTTAAAAATTATAAAAACCTATGTTCAAGAATCAGCTGTACTTCTAGTTCAAAAAACATGATTTGACAAAGCATTTTTGAAGAAAAAAAAGTATAGGAAATCATTGGTTGAGATTAAAACAGGGCAAAAATCATAACCATCTGGTCATTGTACATAATTATTATTGCTAGAATCTCTATTTAGGATTTGCCTTTGGTGCTTTAGAGTAGAAGAAACTAGAAGCAGATAAACAAGAGCCTATTCTTATGTTACTTGTTAGTCTTTTCATAGTGAATTCATACTGAAAGTAAGACGTAACTCATCTTGTGGTTATATATGAGTGCCTAGTACAAATAGGGTGATTAAAACTTGTTGACTGACTCTGCTTCTAAAATTAATTTCTAATACAGTTAATGTAATCTAAAAAATTCTTAATGATGTAATTGTAAGGATTTAGGAGTAATTACTGAATTAAAAGATTTATTATGATAGGTATCTGCATGAGTTACTTTTGTTCCTGAGTTTAAAATACTTTAGTAAAGAAATGAGCACCTTTCAAAAATAAAACTTTGTAGTTTACTTTCTAAATAAAAGGTCAGTTAATAGAGAGATAAGTTCAAATAAGGGGCTAAGTCTTGTGCCTTTTAGAACTCCTTCCAGCATTCTTTCATTGAGGCAGTTTCAGTTGGGACACATATTGCTGTGAGCTCTTACTAACTGGATTTGAAATGTTAGAATTCTAGAATGGCCCAGTGTAGTACTTTTTCTGTCTTTATCTTGCCCCCCTTATAGGATTTTAGGATTATGTATACAGGTTATATAGAGAGAGTCTAACTCAATATATGATGTTTAGAACTTGAGTTTTATTCAACACAAAGCAAAACAACTGTCTTTAAAATATTGGATATAAACTTGTGCTCAGAATAAAATTTTAAACTATTTTATCTTTCAAGAATTGAATTTTCGCCTGGCCGGCGTGGCTCAGTGGTTGAGCGTCAACCTGTGAGTCAGGTGATCATAATTTGATTTCTGGTCAGAGCACATGCCTGGGTTGCAGGCTTGATCCCCAGTATGGGACGTGCGGAAGGCAACCAATCAATGATTATCTCTCATCATTGATGTTTCTATCTCTCTTTCCCTCTCCCTTCCTCTCTGAAATCAATTTTAAAAAGACCTGAATTTTCTTTTCCCGTTTTTCAGATTGATTTTATTTTAGTGTACTGATTTGTATCTGAAACAGAGCAACAATACATATTTCAAAAACTTTTTGATAAGATGTAGGATTTCTGATAGCTCACAACTATAGGAAGTTCATAACTTTTATCTTCTAGTGCATCCTAATCTTTATCAAATTGACACATGCTTTATAATGGCAGATTCTCTCTATATAAAGAAAATAGTGTTGCTTATTATCCTCTTTGGTCTAGTTATTACTATATTTTAATTCCAGAGGTTTTTGTTGTATTTCTGTGTGTGGGTTCTTATTAGTGTACTCCGGTAACTCTGAGAAGGAATGGGTAGGTGAATCTGGGTCAGAAGTGAGGGCCTCATAGCAAATGCCTAATGAAAACCACACTCTTAAGCTCTGAATAGTATTTCTTACTTCTTTGCTGACTTGTCTTACTTTGATTCAAGCCTAACTTTGGAATTTAAGCAATTCCTGCATTACTACTTCCTATCACTAAGAAAAAGAAAGAGAAAGAACTAGTGTTTATGATGAGGGGAGCATTGAGTTAGGGCATAAACAGTATGTTAAAATTTGGGTACCTAGAGTCTACGGTGAGCTAAGTGATCTTATCATGTTCATGTTTGATCAAAGTGCAGGAAAACTAACTTTATCTGTTTGTGTTACCTAGTATATTTTTATGTTTTATAAATTTGGAGATCTGAAAGTCAACCCAAGATGTGGTACAAGGGAGATGTTTGTGGTAATTAGACATTATGTATCTTGATTGTGGTATTGGTTACTCGAATCTAAAAAACTGTACACACAAGTTGTACCAATGCCAGTCTTTTGGTTTTGATATTGTATTATAGTTATGTAGGATGTAGCCTTTTGGGGGAAACTGAGGGAAGAGTGTATAGAACATCTCCATACTACCTTGCAACTTCCTCTGTATCTATAATTATTCCAAATAAAAAGTTAAAAAATAGAAAATCAACCTAAGATTATTTAGTTGTTTTTAAGTAGGATTCTCCAAACATGGTTTCTTCCAAAAGCAAAATTATTTTGTAGTACCTATGTTTTCAAGTTTAATCTAGTCATATCTGGTCTACCACCATTAGTTTATTTATTATAGAGTGATCAACATCCAAGTTTGGAGGGCTCAGCAAGTTCCTGAGACACAAGGTTTTCAGTGGAAAAACTGAAAGCCTCAGGCAACGTGGATAAGTTGGTTACCCTATTTATGGAAGACATTAACTGGAGAGAGGCAGCCTGTGGGCTGTTACTGATAAAGAGGAGGCTTTAAATGTTTGTGATTCCTTCTGAGACTTGACTTAAAAAATCTATGTTTACTAATGCTGCTAGGAATATCTCTTGAAACGTGCTGCTTCTCAGCCTAAAAAAGGTCCTGTAACCTCTTAAAGTTTTTATCTCCATGAATTTTGGCACTGCAATTTTCCTTAGTCAGTTTTATTGAATTTTAAGATATTCTTACTGTGCTAGACATAACTTGATTGACATCAAGGAAGATCATGAACAACTTTATGAAATATATAATTCTTTAAAAAAAAAAAACCAAGCTCGCTATTTATGAATTGTTTTGTGTTGATGGGAGGAATGCAATTTTCAAATATAATAACATCATTAAAGCATGATTCTTGAAGTAGTAAATAAAACTAATATGTTCATTTTTTTCTATTGTATACATTTTCCACATTGTATACTTCTTATCTTAAAATTCTTCTTTTAAAATCTCAGATACTTAATGTAATTCTGTGTATGGTGTGTTTCTAATTACCAAGACAACTAAAATTATCAAATGATATGGACACTAATGTGTCCTCTGCATGTTGAGTTACTAGGCGCCAGGATAGAGGGAATATGAAGGGTAGAAGAGCTTGCTCTGTATTGGTGTGTTGAATCATTATTTTTTCTGTTTTTGGAGAAGCTACTAGTAAAGTAGGAGGGAAAAAAAATGTAGGCAGAGATGCATGGTGGGAAGAAAATAAAAGTATAAAATGTTTCTAGGGAGTTAATCTTCTCCTTTCTATGTAAGAGATTGGTGCTTAAACTTTTGGGGGGCCATGGACCCTTTGAAATTAGATGAAAGCCTCAAGCTCTCTCCTTAGGAAAATGTTATTAGGTTTATACATAGGCTTCATACTAAGAACCTTTGCTAAAATGGAATGTAGGTAGATTAATGGTAGCTTATTGAGCGAGAGAAACCCATAATGCTGTTTGTATAGCAGTTCACAGTTTAGAATGAACTTTAAAATATGTTCTTATTTGATCTTTAACAACCTTATGAAATTGGCAATATAGATGTTATTCCTAACTTAAGTAATCGAGGATCTAATTGAGGTCACATGCCTGATCAGCACCTGGTCTCTTGAATTAGCCAATATTGTGCTTATTGAGTGTCTGCTGTGTTGGGCCTTGTGCCAGGCAGTAGGGATAGACATGACAAGGCCTACTCTTGAAGAGCTCATAGTTGAGCAGAGCAGTCTGATTTGTAGACATTTTGTGTGAATCTATAGTATATAGTGTTCAGTCAGAGCTGTTTAACTCTGCCATGCCGATGTTTGAAGAATACTGAGGAGAAATGTTTCATTAAAATTAAAATATCAGTACATGCTAATTTCCAGGCTTAAAAATCTGACTTATTACATAGAAATTGAGTATCATCACAAAACATGATTTCTAGTGAATGATCATCAATTGTAGAAAGAAACTTCAGTTATATGCAAAGAACTTGTTGTCCTTCATAGTGTTAAACACTGAAGAGGGCAAATAAGTGAAATTGTGACTGTTAAAAATGTTTTGGGGGCTTTTTATGGTTTTCTTTTCAGAAGTAGACATTATTGACAATGTAAGAAATAATTTTGTGGTTTTGTTTTTAAGCATTTTCTTGAGATAACCGATGATCAATTTGACTTCCATACATACTGCATGAGAAAGATGACTCTTCGTGCCTATGTTGATCTTCTGAGATTAGAAGATATGCTCAGAAGACATGCCTTCTATTTCAAGGCTGCTAGATCAGCAATTGAAATATACTTGAAATTGTATGATAACCCCTTAACCAATGAAAACAAACAACAAGAAATAAATTCAGGTAACTGAGAAAGAACTATTTTTTAAAATTTGAAAAGAACACTACATTTAAGAGTGTTATTAGTATAAACAATCCATAGAAAAGTACATTATCAAATGGATGTGAAGAGTGTGTGTGTGTGTGTGAAAAAAAATTGGGGGAAGACTTAGAAAAAGTGACAGGATGATGTTCTGTAGCTGATGCTTCTTAATCACCCCAATGCAATGACTTGGAATCTTTATTTTTATCTTCAGTAAGGCCAATTCAGGAAAAATAGAAATGTCTATTGGCTAGGCTCTTTAACATTATTATTATTATTAGTTTGTAACTGAAAAAGGCTTTGAGCTCCTAGGGAAAAATAATTATTCTTACAACTTCTAGTATCTAATAATGCTAATGAGAATATATAGCTTTCATTCACTAAAATGTTAATATCTAGGAATATTTGAAAAATAGCATAGAGGCAAGTTTCTGATCTTTCATTTGTGATATTTATGTGGTGTCTAGAGATCATAAGTGTGCTTATATACACTGTCTTATCCTTGAAATACTCTTAAGAGAGTAGTTGGTATCATCAGCCCCAAAAAGCTGTATTAATAGTTTGTATTGTATAAGAATATGAGAAAAAATGGAAACATTGACTCAGAATGTTTATGCATTTGGATATTTATAGAAAACCTGTCAGCTAAAGAATTGAAGAAAATGCTTAGCAAGCAGAGAAGAGCTCAGAAAAAGGCTAAATTAGAAGAAGAGAGAAAGCATGCGGAAAGGGAACGTCAACAAAAAAATCAAAAGAAAAAAAGGGATGATGAAGAAGAAGAAGCCAGTGGTCTCAAAGAAGAACTTATACCTGAAAAATTAGAAAGGGTGAGATGAATTTATTATGTTAATTTGGTAAAATTTATGTTAATTCTGTTCTGGCTATAAACATGTTTTATTTAAATTTATAAATCAGAAGCCATTTGTAACATTTTTAAAAAATATATTTTTATGATTTCAGAGAAAGAGAGAGAAACATCAATGATGAGATTCTCTGCCTCCTACATGCCCTCTACTGGGGATCAAGCCTACAACCCGGGCATGTGCCCTTGACCGGAATTGAACCTGGGATGCTTCAGTCCGCAGGCTAACGCTCTATCCACTAAGCCAAACTGGCTAGGGCCATTTGTAACATTACAAATGATATGCTGTAAATAATTTTTGAGTGATAATATGCGAATTTTGCTAATGCATATTATACATAGAATTGTAGTTGTGGTAGGCAGAATTATGACCCTCCAAAGGTGTCTGTGTTCTAAACCCTGGACCCTATGACTATATTAAATTTACATGGCAAAGGGGAATGAAGGTGGCAAATGGAATTTAAGGTTATAATTAGCTGGCCTTAAGATGGGAGATTAGCCTGGATTATCCAGGTGGGCTTAATGTAAATTCACAAGAGGCCCTTAAAAGTGGAAGAGGAAAGAAGGTAGGAGTGGTATGAGAAGGACTCCACCCCCTGTTGCTGGCCTAGAAGGTGATGGGAGGGGTGGGAAGAAGGCAGCTATAAGCAAAAGAATGTAGGCAGCCTTGAGAAGCTGAAAAACACATTAAAACATGTTCTCCCTTAGAGCCTTTGAAAGAGAATGCAGTCTGGCTGACACTTGATTTTAAATCCAGAGAGACCCATATTTAACTTTTAACCTACAGAACTGCAAGATAATAAATTTGTGTTGTCTTAAGACGTTAAATTTTGTTAATTTGTTATAGCAGCAATACAGTTATCTATTATATATGGAAGCATTTCATATATCTTGCTAGGTATGTGTTAGCTACAAAGAATTAATTCTTCATCTCCAGGATTTAATTATTCAGAGACTAGATTTAGGGAAATATTTTTTTTCCTGTTTTATTTACTGTGAATTTTTAATTTGTTTTTACTTTTTAATTTGTTATTACTTTTTCTCTGTTATTTGATACAATTATATTTGTCTCCTTACTTTATATGTTTGTAGTATAAGGGGCTGTAATATACTTGGTGTAATATCTCCTTCAGTTGGTTATATAAAAAGATCTGTTGCAGGGATTCAGAACAAGTCACTCCAACATGTGCCTAAAGGCAACCAAGACCTTGTAGACTTAAGAGAAATTCTGCCTCTTTTAACTACCTAGAACAGGGGTTCTCAACCTGTGGGTCACGACCTCTTTGGGGGTCAAACGACCCTTTCACAGGGGTCGCCTAAAACCATCGGAAAACACATATATAATTACATATTGTTTTTGTGATTAATCATTATGCTTTAATTATGTTAAATTTCTAACAATGAAAATACATCTTGCATATCAGATATTCACATTACGATTCATAACAGTAGCAAAATTACAGTTATGAAGTAGCAACGAAAATAATTTTATGGTTGGGGGGTCACCACAACATGAGGAACTGTATTAAAGGGTCGTGGCATTAGGAAGGTTGAGAACCACTGACCTAGAAGAATCGAATTAGGGGCCTTTCCCATAGTAAGAGATTATCAGAGATTACCTTTTTTGACCTCTCTATATAGCAGGGCAAACTACTAATTATTAAACATCTGCTCTTCTTACCTTCCTCCTTTCTGAAGACTCGAGGTGGTCCTTAACTCAGAATGTCATATATACCTCATTTTCCCTTTCTGTCTTTGAACCTTTCATGTATGTGGGATCTCTGTCTCATGTATACAGGGTTCCTGTATGTATGTATGTATGCATGGTATGTAATTAAATTTGGGCATTTTCTCTTGTTAATTTGTCTCATGTTTATTTGATTATTAGACCAACAGAAAAACCTTGAGGTTAGAGGAGAGTTTCTTCTTACTCCACACTGTAGAAATTATTTCAGATGTGTGTTAATATAAAATTTGGGGACAACCCTAACCGTTTTGGGTCAGTAGATAGAGCATCGGCCTGCAGACTGAAAGGTCCCAGGTTTGATTCCTGTCAAGGGCATGTACCTTGGTTGCGGGCACATTCCCAGTAGGAGGTGTGCAGGAGGCAGCTGATCGATGTTTCTCTCTCATCGATGTTTCTAACTCTCTATTCCTCTCCCTTGCTCTCTGTAACAAATCAATAAAATATATTTTTTTAAAAATTGGGGGACAAATTTGAGTTGTTTAGCTGTTTTTAAACTATAATAATTTTTCCTTCTGCTTCAAAATAGGTAGAAAGTCCATTGGAAGAAGCTATCAAGTTCCTCACACCACTTAAGAACCTTGCTGCTGATAACATTGACACTCATCTATTAGCATTTGAAATATATTTTAGAAAAGGTAATGGTTTGAATTCAGTTTTTAATTATTTTTTATTTCTTTTTATTTTTAAATTAAATTTATTGGGATAACATTAGTTAAAAGCCATACAGGTTTCAAGTGTACAACTCATCTGCATACTGCATCGTGTGCTCACCACCCAAAGTCAAGTCTTTTTCCATTCCCATGTTTCCCCCCTTAACCCGCTTCCACCTCCCCCATCTCCCTTTTCCTCTGTATCACCATACTGCTGTCTGTCTCTGTGTGTGTGTGTGTGTGTGTGTGTGTGTGTGTGTGTGTGTGTGTACATATACATATATATTTCTTAATCTCTTAACCTTTTTTCATCTAGCCACCCTTAATTATATTGGTGGCCATATTCAATATAATCTTGTCCATTAGATCTATTTTTGTTTTTAGGGTTCCATTTCAACCTTCCAAAAATAATCTTAATCCTTTTTTCTTTTGCTACTCAAAACTTTACTGGGTAATAACTTAGAATATTATAATCAAATCCATTTTAAGAATAGTTTAAATAATCAAAATGTTTATCTAAAGCATTTCTTCATGATATTTTATGCTTTTCTTTAGAAAATTAAAGTTGTCCTTGAATTTTGCTTATAAGTATTATAGGAAAGTTAACATTTTGTTACTGGATTTTAAGTGAGGCTAAAATAAAGTGAATAAAGTATCAGACATAAATACTGATCCTATTTATTTATTTTTTCTGACACAGGGAAGTTTCTGTTAATGTTGCAGTCTGTCAAACGAGCTTTTGCCATAGACAGTAATAACCCATGGTTACATGAATGTCTAATTAAATTTTCTAACTCTGGTAAGTATAAACAAGATAACATTTATGTAAAAGCAGATGTGACAATTTAGCTATCTTTCATTAAGCTGCACATTAAAAGATTTACAAATTGTAAAGCAAAGAAAAAGATAATGTTTACAAAAAGCATTTAAAGGAAGGTAAATTTATAAATTAAACATGCTTGCAAAGATAATGCTAGAAATTAGTGCATTTTTAAGCTAGAATGTATTTATATTCTAAAGGAGCAATAATATTTTCACTTTGTAAAATATATCGAGCTTAATAAATGTATTTCAACTGATTTTGTTTCAAGGAACTGACCTAAATTTTTTAAATTTTCAAATATTTGTTTTTATAGTGTCTAACCATAGTAATCTTCCAGACATTGTGAGCAAAGTTCTATTTCAAGAAATGCAGAAGCTATTTTTCAACAAGGATTTGAAAAGTTTTAATGAGGATTTTCTCAAACATAATGCTACCTCTCTTCAGCATTTACTTTCAGGTTGGTATTTAAATCCTAGGGTTAAAATGTTTATGGAAAAAAGTTAGAATGTGATTTTAAAAAAAAGTTTGGAAAGATGTTTAACTTCACTAATTATCAGAGATAAACACCAGGGATGCCCTCTTTCACCACTCTTGTTTAACATAGTTCTGGAAGCCTGGCCATCAGATAAGAAGAAGAAATAAAAGGCATCCAAATTGGAAAGGAGGAAGTAAAACTCTCATTATTTGCAGACGACGTGATACTGTACATAGAAAACTCTAAAGACTCCATCAAAAAACTATTAGATTTAAATGAATTTGGCAACTTAGCAGGATACAAAATTAACACCCAAAAATCCATAGCAGTTTTATATACCAATAATGAATTCTCAGAAAGAGAAACCAAAAAAAAAAAATTAAAAAAAAAATCCCATTTACCATCGCAACAAAAAAATTAAGATACTTAGGAATAAACTTAACCAAGGAGGTAAAAGACCTGTACTCTGAAAACTATAGGATGCTGAAAAAAGATAGAGGAAGATATAAACAAGTGGAAGAATATACCATGTTCATGGGTTGGTAGAATCAACATCATTAAAATGTCCGTTTTACCCAAAGCAATCTATGATTCAATGCAATCCCTATTAAAACACCAACAGCATATTTCACAGACCTAGAACAAACTCTCTAAAATTTATATGGAACAAAAAATGACCCCAAATAGCTGCAATAATCTTGAGAAAGAAGAACAAAGTTGGAGGCATCACAATACCAGATATCAAGTTATACTACAAAGACACTGTGCTCAAAACAGCCTGGTATTGGCACAAAAACAGGTATATAGGTCAATGGAACAAAACAGAACCCAGAAATTGACCCAAGCCACTATGCTCAATTAATATTTGGCAAAGGAGGCAAGATCATACATACATTGAAGCAGAGACAGTCTCTTCAATAAAATGGTGTTGGGAAAATTGGACAGGTACATAAAAAAAAATGAAACTAGACCAACAACTTACACCATACACAAGAATAAACTCAAAATGGATAAAAGACTTAAATGTAAGACGTGAAACCATAAAAGTTCTAGAACAGGGGTGGGCAACCTTTCTGTGAGTGCCTGCCAAAACCAGCAAAATCTCTGACTCAAAATTCTTCTGCGTGCCAACCCTAATTTTTTGAGAACATGTTACGCCTGCTTGATATGTCTTAAGGTATACGTATGTGAAGAACCTTGAAGAAATAATAAAATTCATTCGAGCAACAAAAACAGTATATGATGATGAAAAATACATTTATTTTTTAATGTATACATGTACACTGATAGTCCGACAGAAAACTTTATGACTCCGTTTGATATTATCAGTGGGACTTTTGCTGCTGCATCACTGATGACAGAGATTTTACATCAGGTTTATATTTCGTGACCTTCAGAGATGCACGAGCTACTACTTCCATCCGTCAGGCTACTCTTATTACGAGACTTAACAAAATTCATCACTGAGAACAAATATTCACAAGCATATGTGGATGAAACCAAAACTGGTCGGATCTAGGAAGGCAGGGAGAGTTAAGGCAGAGGCGTAGAAATTGCTCTTCCCCTCTCTTGTCAATCCATGTCTATGGTCTTTAAGATAACTTGTTATGTAAAATTATTTATCTAAGATGCACCTACACTAAATTTATCTGAAAAATAAAAAAGTTGATATTAAGAAAAAAATTGTAAATGGAAGATTATAAGAGAGGGTTTCGCGTGCCACCAAAAGTTACTGGCGTGCCATGTTTGGCATGCGTGCCAGGGGTTGCCCACCCCTGTTCTAGAAGAAACCATAGGCACCAAAATCTCAGACATTGCTTGTAGCAGTATGTTTACCAGTACATCTCCTAGGACAGTGGAAACTATGGAGAAAATAAACAAATGGGACTACATGAAAATGAAACCATCAACAAAATAGCAAGAGAGCCTACTACAGGGAGAACATACTTGCCAATGATATCCTAATATATATAAAGAGCTAGGTGCCCAAACCGGCGACCGGTCACCATGAAGTGCATGGAGCACCTCTCGGTTCCTAGAGCGGGGAGCTTCCCGTAGCATCGCAGGGTGGCAGAGGCCATGCAACGGAGGCCAGGCTAGGCCTAGGGACCCTGACCACGCCCGATTTCGTGTGCGCTGGGTTTCTAGTATCTGATAAGAGGTTAATCTCCAAAATATATAGGGAACTCATACAACTTAAATGGAAGACAAACAATCCAATCAAAAAATGGGCAAAGGACATAAATAGATACTTCTCCAAAGTGGACATGCAGAAAGTCAGGAAACGTGAAAAAAATCTTTGAAGTCACTAATTATCCAAGAGATGCAAATTAAAACTACAATGAGGTATCGCCTCACACTTGTCAGAATGGCTATTATCAACAAATGACAAGTGCTGGTGAGGTTGTGGAGAAAAGGGAACTCTAGTACACTGCTGGATGGGAATGCAGACTAGTGCAGCCACTGTGGAAAACAGTATGGAGTTTCCTCAGAAAACTAAAAATGGAACTCCTATTTGACCCAGTGATCCCACATTTAGGAATATATCCCAAGAAACCCGAAACACTCATCAGAAAGAATATATGCACCCCTATGTTCATAGCAGCGCAGTTTACGATAGCTAAGATTTAGAAAAAGCTTAAGTGCCCATCAGCAGATGAGTGGATAAAAAAACTGGTACATCTACATAATGGAATACTATGCAGCAATAAAAAAAAAAACTTTTACCATTTGCAACAGCATGGATGGACCTGGAGAATATTATGTTGAGTGAAATAAGCCAGTCAGAGGAAGATAAGTATCCTATGATCTCACTCATATGTGGAATCTAATGAATAAAATAAACTGATGATCAAAAATAGACTCTGAGACATAGAAGCATGAACAGACTATTGAACCTCAGAGGGAAGACAGGCGGGTGGGTGGGAAGAGATGAACCAATGAACTTGTATGCATATATACATAACCTGTGGACACAGATAATGGGGTGATGGGGGGGATGGGAGTGGGCTGGAAGAGGTTAATGAGGGGAAAAGGAGGACCTATGTAATACTTTGAACAATAAAGATTTAATGAAAAACAACAAACAAAAATAAAGAAACACAATAGCACTTTGGATCTTTCAAATTAAGAAAGTTTTTATGTGTTTGGAAAAGTTTAAAGTTTAGTAAAGATGTAGTTAACAAGCACTCTTATAGTTTGCTGCTACAGTGTAAATTGCCGCAGCCATGTAAGAAATCAACTTAATCATTCTTATCAAGAACTTCACATTACCTGTATCTTTTGCTGTAGTCATACTTTTGTGAATAATTTTAAATAATTATTCCAAAGCAAAAAAAAGGAGTTTTAAGTGCAAAGATGTTAACTGAAATGTGTGAAAGTATGGGGAAAATAATGGTAACAGATTAGTGTATGTCCAGTATGTCCAGTAATAGGGAGATGTAGCAGGTTTGTAGGATAGACTAGCAGGTAATGGTATAAAATGATGTTATTTCTAAAAAGCTATAACAAGGGTAAATATGTTTTAATATGTATGCAGAATTAACAAAATATAATCTCAGCTATGTAATAATATACATGGGATAAAGGCTACAAAAAGTGTATACCAAAGCTTTAATGAATGGTTGCCTTTGGGTGTTGTGATTATCTGTGATTTTTTTTCTTGTATTTTTATTACTTTATGTATTTTGCATTTTGAGAATTTACTTATATTCTGCCTTATTACAGGAGAGAATTTAGGCAATTTATATAAATTTATAAAATACAAGATGGCATAAATGCAAACTGAACAAAAGATTGTGGAAAGGGAATTAGTGACAAAATGAAGTATATATAATGAACTCCTAATTTAAGCCATATACTGTATTTAAATACTTTAACCTAAGCTTTTTTTTGTTGCAAAGGCAAACTTCTTGGTTTTAATATCTATGGGAAAAAAGTTAATTCATGTGAGAAATTACACTTCTTGGTAGTAAGGGCAGATGAGAATTTCTCTTTAAAAAAAAGGGTAATGGAAGAAAACATTTCTTTATTATAACTATGGGAAGTGCCTTTCCAAACATATGAAATTCTAAAGAGAAGATAATTTTTGCCATATAAAAATAAAAACACCATAAATTCAAAAGACCAAAAAATATTCATGGATATATAACTGATAAAAAGCTAATAATATATGTGGAGCTCTTATAAATTAACAGTTAACAATATAAATTAATAAACAAAATCCAAAGGAGCCCTAGCTGGTTTGGCTCAATGGGTAGAGCGTCAGCCTGTGGACCAAAGGGTCCCTGGTTCGATTCTGGTCAAGGGCACAGCATATGCTCGGGTTGCAGGCTCGATCCCCAGTAATGGGTGAGCAGGAGGCAGCCAATTCTAACTCTCTCTCCCTCTCCCTTCCTCTCTGAAATCAATAAAAAATATATTTAAAAAAATCCAATAGTAAAATGAACATAGAATATGGACCATGTAATTTATTGGAGAAATATAAACTGGGGTTTATTTTTTTGAAAGCTTTAAAAATTATTTTCTTTGTGAATATGGAAACATTTTCCTATTGTCCCTCAACCACAGTCTTTTGATAATAATTTGTTTCTTAGATGTTTTATCTGAGGATATAATTTTTTAAAAATGATTGATTGATGCCACAGGGTAGCCTGTGTTTATATTTTGAGTTGGATCATTTTCTGGGGGGGGGCGGGGATATTAAATCTGGTATCCTGGTAAATGTTTAGCAACCATCTCTGTGTCCCCAACTATGAGTGGAATGTCACTGAATGGACGTGGGAAGTGATGGCACAATTGCCTCCTGAGAGCTGTGGGAGCCAGTTCCAGCCCACTGCTAATTAAATACTTGGGACCATATTTTAAGCCACTGGTTAATGTAAATTAAATCAAATGTTAGCCATCCATAGAAGTTTACCCATTTTGAAATGTCTTGGTATTTCAGGTGCTAAAATGATGTATTTTCTGGACAAGTCAAGGCAAGAGAAAGCAATCGCCATTGCCACTAGACTGGATGAAACTATAAAAGATAAAAATGTAAAAGTAAGATTTTTCACACTCATTTCCCCCCATTTTTAAAAAAATCACATATGAGCATTTATTCCAATACTGTTGACAGTATGGGAGAGCACCAGGTCATCTACAAAAATCTGCTCTGCAGCCCCCCCATAAGCCAGCTGCTTATATAGGGTAGGACAAGGATTGCTTGGGGAAGTAGGAGGCTGGGGTGGGACTCCATTGTTTGGGCAACAAGGTGGTTAATCTTTCCATAGGCAGTTCTTGAATGAGAATGGTTCCAAGGTCTTCCCCAGGTCCAAGGTTGACTTCCTGGTCCAAGGTTGACTCCCAGGGCCTGGGGCACACAACTTCCACCCTGGTCAGAATGTCCTTTCTTTAACCAACACAAGGCAATCATGGTTAACAGCATGATTAATACCTCCCATAACTGGATACTGAGTGATCTAACAAAACATGCCTTTACAACTTAATTCTTGAGTGGGCCTTCTGACTTATGCCTTGATTTGAATACCAGTTCTAATTAAGAGCTATATCACATTAGGCAAGTTACATCTCTTAGCTTCCTTTTTCTCATGTAGAATATGAGGATGAAAATGCTGCAGCATAGAGTTGGTATAAGGGTTTACTGAAGTAATAAACTGAAGTACTTACTACCTGCCTGGCACATAGTAATCACTTAATATGTGGGAGCTATTGTTATTAATAAAGGACACTTTTATTTTAGTGATCACAGTTTCAGGGATTCACTTTTTCAAGTATTAGAATTTTACTGCTTTTTTAAGGCTTTACAGAATTGATTTTTAAAATGTTCCTTTTTTGAGATGATTACTTAGTATAGATAGCAAGAAGTTATTTTAGACTAGGGCTTGTTGGCCTTCTCTTGGTTAATGAACAGATTGCATCTTTTGATTTAAGTGATTAATAATCAAATGTAATTTTTTTTATTTCCCTTTGTTTCAATAGATTTTAATAAAGGTTTCTGAGGCACTGCTTGATGGAAGCTTTGGGAACTGTAATTCCCAATATGAAGAATACAGGATGGCCTGTCACAGCCTGCTCCCTTTCACGTCTGCTTTCCTGCCTGCTGTGAATGAGGTCAGCAGTCAAAGTGCGGCACTAAACCATATGGCCAACTATGATGTCTTGGCAAATGAAATTTGAAATCCCATAGAAAATGGGCTCCTATAGATTCAAAGCTGACTTCAGATCAGGGTTCTTTTCAGGGTGTATTTTAATATAAATATGAAGTGAAATAATTGGATAGTTTTTTTCAATGGAGTATTCTGTAAGCTTATTCTATTTTTTATCTGACTCTGCCAGTATACATAAGCATCTGTTAAAATGACCTGTTTATACTTGTACAGTTTTCTTAAACTTTAGAATTATCAGCATTATGATGGTGCTGTCACTTCTTTATCATAAATATGATAATTACATTTTAAACTAAGGTGTATACGGTCTCACTCTTATTTTTTTTAGATCCTGGTTTTAGACTCTATGGTTTGATCCCTTATTGATTTGTCTTATTGTTTTTTTGCTTACTTTTTAATGAAAACACATCAGTTTTAAAGTGGTAACTATATGTATGTTAAAAACAATATGGAACTTCTTTTGTCAGATATTGAGGTTTAGTTTAAAATTTACTTCAGTTTGCCCTTTTTTTTCTCTTAATTTTTTCCTGATTTATTATTTTTTAATATACATGAAAATGAAAATTTCTTTTGATTCAGAATGTGGGGATTGGTTTGCCTCTTAATCACTGAAATTCACTGATAAATTTATTGTGTATCTCTAGGTCAGTCTTAAAAGTCCCACAAGCAAGAATTATGCTTTCTTGGCTAAATTGCTTTGTGTATTAATAAATAGTTTATATCTGAGTGGCATATGCCTCAAGGAAGCATAATAGAGCAGAATATAAATTATAATGAAGCATCTTTACTCTTGTAGTCATACATAGACTACTAAATATGTTTTTATATCAGCAGAATGGGAATTTAATCTATTAGTTTAATTATTAAAACAGTATTGTCAGGCAATTTTTGTGGAGGATAGCTATTTCCTTCTTGTATAGAAAACGGTAGTGGAATCATTCAATATGTTTCTTGCAGAACTGTGTAAATATGTCTGTAATATGGATACTTCCCTTTAAGGCAAATATAAATTCAAAAGGGAGATTTTATTTAGAGAAATAGTTCTAATTAATATGATTTTCTTTCACTCTAAGCTATTTTAGATTCATAATTATTGAGAGAAAAACACTTACTGTAAAACAATGTCAACCTATATAAAGCTGTAATAAATTATTTTGTACAGAGCTGCTTATTGGTGTTGTGTTACTGCTTCACACAATCAAAATATTTTTGCAAAATATTTTTTCTTTGAGAGAGTAAAAACTTTTCATCATCTTAATTTTTACCAATTTATAAAATCACCTACCAATATATTCTGGTGCCACATCAGATTGTTTTCTTTTTAATGTTTTAATTCTTTAAGAAGTAGGCAATCTCTGTCACTAAATATCTTGGCAAATGTGTAATTTGATATGTTACTTTCAGCATAAAAGATGGAATTGTGCTTTCAGCTGTGGTCTTTTAAAAAGTATTCCATTGGGCCCTGACTGGTTTGGCTCAGTGGATAGAGCATCGGCCTGCGGACTGAAGGGTCTAGGTTCGATTCCAGTCAAGGGCATGTAACTTGGTTGTGGGCACATCCCCAGTAGGGGACGTGCAGGAGGCAGCTGGTTGATGTTTCTCTCTCATCGATGTTTCTAGCTCTCTATCCCTCTCCCTAACTCTCTGTAAAAAAATCAATAAAATATATTTTTAAAAAAATAAAAAGTATTCCATTGGAATTATTTAGAGTTTCTGAAAGTTATAGGCAGATACAGTTGAGATGTGAGGAGTTTGGTTCAAGGTAAGGAAGAAGGCAGGATAATGGGTGACACTGGGATTAGTGAAATCCAGTAGTGTATCAGTTAGTGTATAGGGGTTGTATCTGTTCTCCTTCCTATACTCATCCCACTTCAAGTATAAACCGGAGATATAGTCAGGGATCTTTTTTAGATAGGGGGGAGGGTTGTATCATGTTCTTCCATCCCCTACCTCCACCCTATTCCCAATTTTGTAGAGGCCCTTTTAATGTAAAGCTAAAGAATAAACATAAGCCTAAAGGAGAGACATCTTAAAACCAGTTACTTAAAAAAGTCTCTTGTCTCAAGAGAAAAGCAAAAAGTCCTTTGTCCTGTTTGATCCTGCCAAGTTTATCAGAACAGATAGGAAAAAAACCACGAAGATTCAAGGCATAGTGTGATAATTTAAGAATTTGGCTTCAGATTTTGTTTTTGTTTTTTGAGGAATGAATTTAATGTGCAAAGCCTAGAGAATAGAGAACCACAATTCAATCTGTAGTTATTGAGCCCCTAATTTTGTTTCAGATAGTGTTCGAGGTATGACACATAATAGCGAACAAAATTACGTTCTTATTCTGGTGGGGGGAGAGAGAAACCAGTATATAATATCAGGTAGTGAAAATTACTGTTTAGAAAACTCAAGCACAATATGAATATAGAGATAAGTGTTGGTTATAATGAAATTTAAAAGTTTCAAAGAATAGTTAAAAGTTTACAGAGAAAAAGTATTATCAAAGGAATGAATTGAATTGACATTAGATTTCTCAAAAGCATTATTGAATGTAAGTATCAAAGAAAAAACATTAAAATTTTATATCCAGCCAAGTTAGCATTAGAATGTGACAGACAACATTTGAAAATGTTTTTAAGTGTACAAACCTCAGAAGATTTACCTTACAAAGGCCCTCAAGAAAATACTTTAGGAGAAATATTAAAAGATACAAAATCTGGAAGATGCTACAAGAGATGTGAAAAGAAGGGTGATTAAATATTTTTGTAAAGTTGACTGTTATCTTAAAGAGAAACTTTATTACAGCAATTAAAACTCTAGGCATTATCATTAAGATTTGTTAACGTAAGAGATACCAAAACCTGTAAGAGAATTTTTATGTGTTTATTTGAGTCAAGCTGATGACATATGGTAGGGAGCAAGATCTCAAATGCTCCAGAGAATAACAATTTTGCAGTGTTTATACATTTGAAATTAAGGAGGGAATTTAAGGAAGATTACATGGAAGTGGGGGAAAGCAAGGCAGGGATCAGATTACATGATAGTTAACATTAAGTATTCGCTTGAGGGTTAATACCCCCATCTAGGAGTATTCTGGTATTTCAAAGGTGTGTTCAACTAGATGCACAAAAATAATGGGCAGGGCTGGCTTAAAACCTTTCACTAAGTTATATGCTTGGGGCATGACTACCTATCATGACCTACCCAGCTAGGATTTTATGATCAGATTACCCTGTGAGGTTACTTTCCATAGAACCCCTTTTTCATGCACAGACTAGAGTTGGAGATAAAGACTAAGACATAAGACAGCTAAAGTGCCTCTCTGGCCCTGGCCGGGTGGCTTGGTTGGAGCATTGTCCTGTACACCAAAAGGTTGTGGGTTCAATTTCTGGTCAGGGCACATACCTAGGTTGCGAATTCAATCCCCAGTCAGGAGGCAAACTGATTAAAGTTTCACATGGATGTTTCTCCCTTCCTCTTTCTCTAAAATCAATAAAGACATATATTTGTGGTTAAGAGGAAGTTACAGAGATTAAACAAACATGAATATAGTTAATTATAAAAACCACTATAAGAAAGAAAATGTAAAACAAAGACGAATTCAGTTTATCTAGTGGGAAGCAGAAAAAGGAACAAAGATTATAGTAAATGGAAAATAAGATGGCAGAAATTCTGGTGTAACACTGGTTTAAAAAATTCAATGGATTAAGTTAAAAGACAGATTTTTGGATTGTATTAAAGATTGTTTACAAGAGACATACTTAAATAAGAACAGGAAAATTTAAATAAAAGGATGGAATTAGATATAATAGGCTAATATGAACCAGAACAAGGATGGAGTAACAGTCCAAGTAGAATAGAATTTAATGCAAAATATAATGACAAAGAGACATCGTGCATTCATTAAATAAATACAAATGTAAGGAGTGACATCAGAGGAATGGCAAGCATGAGACATCCTTTTGACCACTCCTGAAATTTCAACAAATTAACCAACTATAATTCAACAAAGAATCCCTACTCAATACAGAGGCATGCTTCAGAGACCCGCACATGGAAGCATATAAAGGTGGGCAACTAAGAATGAGTGGGGAGACAAGAAAAGAGGAAAGGTCAGATGGTTGCAGATGCAGCCCTGCAGCTGGGAGCTCGTGGCTCAGCCCAGAGAGGGGAGGAAGCCAGTGATAGCAGGTGCTTCCTTTGGCCAGGAGGAACGGAGAGCTGCAGGGGGCAGTCAGGCAGGACAAAGGAGCAAACAGTGACTGAGCCAACAGACTCCTGACAGGAGTATGTGGGTTCTTCCCCATGGCTGTCCACTGTCAGTGGAGTTTCAGACAAAGAAACAGAATTACAGAGCCCTGCTGCCTCTTGTCCAAAACTTGTTTCCCATTGTTCTTGGTGTCGGGTCAAGGAGCACATTATCTGTAAGCTAAGAGTTATTGCAGCAGAACCACTGTTTACCTCTGTGATTTATACCCAAGTGAGGCTTTAGGGGGGTTGAGGGGAGGAAGGTCCAGGGTCACCATTATGATGATGAAAAAACAAACCAAGCCCCAAGCAGCACTTGACTTACTGTGGAGGTCAAGTTTAGGAGATCACAGAGGTAAAAATCTTGTGATTCAGCCATCTATTTGAAAAGAGTAGAAAGACCTCTTCAGAAAAATCTGCTAGAGAGGGGCCATTAATATAGACATACATACATATCTAGACAAAGGAGACCAGCAAATACCATGAATAACCATAGTAATGAGGATGATCAGAAAGAAAACAAAGAAAGCAAGCTGGAACACATGGAAATATGGGATATAAATTACAGAGATTTTAATATTGAGTTCTGAAAATACACAATGAGATGTGAGAAAATACAGGCAGACAATTCGGTACTCTCAGAAAACAAATTAATGAACAAAATAAGTTCTTACCCAAAGAGATTGAAACTTTTAAAAGAACCAATCAGAAATCCTGGTAATGAAGTATGCAATTAAGGAGATTAGGCATAAACTATTGAGCATAGAAAATAGAGCCAACCAGAAGGAGGAAAGAATTAGTGATATTAAAGATAGGAATCTAGAAATGATGCAGAGGGAAGAAGAGAGAGACCTGAGTATAAGAAAAAGTGAAAGAGCTTTATGAGAAGCATTTGACTCCACCAGGAAATAATAGGATATCAGAAGAAGAAGAGATGGGGCAGGGAACAGAGAGCCTCTTCAAACAAATAGTGGATGAGAACTTCCCAAACCTATGGAAAGAACTAGATCCTTGAATCCAAAAAGCAAACAACACCTAGTTACCTCAATCCAAAGAGGTCCTCTCTAAGACACATTGTATAAAAACTGTCAAGTTAATGACAAAAAATTCTCAAAGCAGCCAGGGACAAGAAGGAAGTGTCCTATAGAGGCAAACTCATCAAAAATATCATCCAACTTCTCAGCAGAAACTCTACAAGCCAGAAGAGAGTGGAACCAAATATTCAAACATCTGAAAGAGAAATTACCAGCCATGAATATATATCCAGCAAAATTATCCTTTAAATATGAAGGAGAAATAAAGATGTTTCCAGACAAGCAGAAGTTGAGGGATTTTATCACCAGAAAGCCTCCATTGCAGGAAATACTCAAGGGAGTTTTTCCACCTGAAAGAGTAAGGTCACAAAAAACTTACAGCATAAACAGGACAATTTGTGACAAATACATAAAAAGAGAAGAGGGAAGGTCTGAACTGGCAAAGGAGGATGAAGATCAGATGCACTCAAAAGAAAAGAACCTACTGTATATATGCAACTTTATTTTTTTATAAACCTAATGGTAACCACACACAAAAATTCCCAAACTAAGACACATAGCTGAAAAAAAAAGGAAACAGCCTGGCCTGTGTGGCTCAGTGGTTGAGCATCGACCTATGAACCAGGAGGTCACAGTTTGATTCCAGGTCGAGGCACATGTCTGGGTTGTGGGCTTGATCCCCAGTGTGGGGCATGCGGGAGGCGGCTGATCAACGATTCCCTCTCATCATTGATATTTCTATCTCCCTCTCCTTCCTCTCTGAAATCAATAAAAGTATATTTTTTACAAAAAGAGGAAATGGAGAAAAGGAGTATGAAATACCACCAAACAAAAACAACAGACAGAAATAGAAAGGAAAAGAAGCAATGGAGGCACAGAGATACCAGAAAACAAAAGAT